GGAGAGAGAGAGAGAGGGGGAGGGATGGAGGGAGTGAGGGAGGGAGGGGGGAGGGAGAGAGAGAGAAAGAAAGAGAGAGAGAGAGAGAGCGAGAGAGAAAGAGGGAGAGAGAGAGAGAGAGAGAGAGAGAGAGAGAGAGAAGGAGGGAGGGAGGGAGGGAGGGAGAGAGAGAGAGAGAAGAGAGAGAGAGAGAGAGAGAGAGAGAAGAGAGAGAGAGAGAGAGAGAGAGAGAGAGAGAGAGAGAGAGAGAGAGAGAGAGAGAGAGAGAGAAAGAATGTGAATAGCTATTTCTTAACACTGACATACCTTGGCTGTTCGCCCCCAAACTAACACTTGTTACCTACAAATGCACACTCACAATATCACAACTATTCAAACATTATTTATGATACTCACGCATATCAGGAAACATGTTTCAACGGATGTAAATATTTTTGTTCATTTCTATATATAGAATTCATAACGTTCTTTCTGTGCAACCAAATATTCCAAAACGAAAATTAAGGACATTACGGTTTACGGAAGGGTTCGTTATAGAAACTAATAGATGTACTACAAAAATTTGATCAAAAGTGCAAGTTTAAAATGATCTGTTTGTTACAACACATCAGTGCAATGTGGCTGTTGCATCTCTAGCAAAGTCTGCGGTAAGAGACTTACAAAAAATGATAATAATAAAAAGATAAAAAAAATAAATAAAAAAATCCAAGATATTTATATAAACAAAGCAACAAAATCAATAGAAGAAAGAAAATTGACGGTTCGTATTTCGTGGAGAATCGCTTCTTTCCGGTGTTATGTGTCCTTCAATCTGTCTTCTCTCTTTTTTTTCTCTCTCTTTTCTTTTTCTTAATTGTGCACGTTATGCGCCTCGTGTTCCTACTTTACCTTTCGCCTACTACAGTTAGGCAGAAGCAATGTGGTTAGTAATAAGCGGTTGCGACAGGTCTCTCATTCATACAGCAAATGGAAGGTGTCTAGGTTATAATGGCGGTGATAACCCTGTCAAGTGATTGCATACTGGTCTTGATGTGTTAAGGTTTTTGTTGCATCCGGCCCCCTGCGGTCACCGTGAGCTCGATCGTAAGGCGAGGAGGGGAGAGGGGAGGGAGGGAGGGGAAGAGGGAGAGGGTGGAGGGGTTAGAGGAAGAGGGAGGAGGGGGAAGATGGGGTGGGTAGAGGGAGGGAGAAGCAGCTAAGTCGTCTTGTGTCGAGGGCGATTTCGAGGCGTGTTGACAGTCCTTTCAGATTAATTAGAAGGACTGGGAGGCTCCCCTGGCAGAGGACCGTTCCCATGGCGACGATCCGGTTCCTCGCGAAGGAGCAACGGGGCTGGCGCAACGAGGGCGAAGGTCGCAGGGGAGAAGTCTTCTGTCTCGGGCTCTCCTTCTGAGGCTCATGCCGCCCTCCGCCTCCTTCTTCCTTTTTCCACATCGCCCTCTTCCTTATCCTTCTCTTCCACGTCTTCGTCGTCCACTCCTCCCCCTCCCCCCCTCCCTTCCTTGTCCTCGTTTTTCCTCTTCAGTTTCTCCCTTCCTCGTCATCGTCCTCACCGTCGTCCTCTTTTCTTCGTCGTCGTCTTCCTCCTTCCCCCCGTCATCGTCGTCATCTTCCTCCTTCCCCCCGTCATCGTCGTCGTCTTCCTCCTTCCCCCAGTCATCGTCGTCGCCGTGAAGTGAGACGCCCGGAGTTCCATCCCGTCGGTGTGGGCGAGCGAGGGGGGGGCGTAGGGAAGCGAGGCCGACTGACGGGGATTTCTCGTCCCGGCGTCGATCGGGTGTCTGGGTTTCACCGGAAAGTGTAACCGCTGATCAAGGACCGTAAAATCAAATATTAATGACCGGGAGGAAATAAACTTTAAGTATCTCGTAGCATAATAACCGGGAGTCGAATTTACCGTCTTTTATAATAACATTCCGTGTAAGGATCATGTAGCCTTTGCGTGCGCTACACCAACTGCTCGACCATAAAGAAGCGTGTTAACTCGTATGTAAAAAGAAAAAAAAGGAGAAAAAAATAACGAAAAAAAAAGTCAGTCTCACACATCACAAATACCATCTCGTCATACGGATCATTTTCCTCCTCCGATTCGACTCCCGGACGAGAGAAGGAAAGCCGAGGCGACGAGACGTGGATGTGACAACGACTCCCCCCCTCCCAGCAACCCCCACGAGGGAGCCTGGCAACGCGTATCTGATCGCGGCGAGCAAGCAGAGCGATCGCCACCGACGCGTAAATCCGTCATGGCGACCGAGACCATGTAATTATTACTCGTTACAGTGACTTTTAATAACCCTTACGACTGTTCTTTGACATCGTAGACTCCACAATTTACCTATACTGTAACGACCGTTGAGCAAACTAGAGTCTATAAGGGCAATTTCGGACGATCACTCCGTCCCTTTTGGAGAGCCACCGGCCATCGTCTCTTCCAAGCACTGCGATTCAGAGCGCTAAATCTCATTGCCATTTCATCAACTTGATACAATAAGCGGAGGCTAATCATATGGAATGTGAAGATAGGGACCGGCAATAAGTATAATCTGAATGCTGCCGTGCAATTAACTGATACAATATTATGGGTCGAGGAGGAGGAGGAGGAGGAGGAGGAGGAGGAGGAGGAGGAGGAGTAGAGGAGGAGTAGTAGGAGGAGGAGGAAGAAGAAGAAGAAAAAGAAGAAGAAGAAGAAAGAGAAGGAAGGAAGAGGAGGAAGAAGAAGTATGAGACCGGAGAACGCAGAGCAGGAGCGGTTGAACAGGATAATAATCAAACCACGTCAAGGCGCCGAGTAAAGGCTGTTCTGGGCTCCGTCGGCCGCGCTGATGATCTTCACAAGTATCGCGGCTGAAAGTCAAAGGGAGACACAGAAAGCAATGCGCTCATCATCACGTCGATCAACTGTATGTGTATGTAAATATATATGTATATATATATATATATATATATATATATATATATATATATATATATATAATGTATGTATATTTAAATATACATATATACATATGTATTATATGTGTGTATATATAGATGTATATATATATACATATATATATGCATATATATGATATATGTATGTGTTTATATATATATTAATACATGGAAGAAAATATTTTTAAAAAAGCTTTAGATAACCATGTAAAACACGTACTCCGGATGCAGCCACGTGGCCGGGCGAGAAGCGCTCGCTCGCCCTCCGCCTCCCGGACCAGCGGCGGCGATAAGATCAGCGCTGGGAGGGCGTTGCTGGACTACTGTGCGGGAGGCTCGGGCCGCGGCGCTGACGAGGAGAGGCCCGTCACCTCCTCGCCGGGAAAATTCATGGCCAATTATCATAGGGAAATGGAATAATCAGCCGCGAAAGATGTTTTCTGCATACCGCGCGCGCGCGCGCGCACACACACACACACACACACACACACACACACACACACACACGCACACACACACACACACACACACACACACACACACACACACACACACACACACACACACACACATACACACACACACACACTACACGAAGCAGACAGTGGGATGCTGACAGACGCTAAAGGTGCTGACAATAGGTGGGTGTCAATGTGCTATCAGCTAAGTACGTAAGGCTTGTGATTTGATAATAGTGTTTCAATGAGGCTGATAAATAATATAAGTATGATGGAGTGAGCGTGATGGTAATGGGTTAACTAACTTAAAGACAATTTGTACTTGAATATGAGAGAGAGAGAGAGAGAGAGAGAGAGAGAGAGAGAGAGAGAGAGAAAGAAAGAAAGAGAGTCAGAGAGAGAGAGAGGGGGAGTCAGAGAGAAAGAGACTTATAAACAAGAGGAAGAGAAAAGCGTGTTAAAGAAAGGGAAGCAAGGAAAGGAATGCTAAAAAGTGAATGAAAAAAGGTAAACAAACCCAGGTTTAAAAAAGCTACAGAATTGTGAAGTGTGCTGCAGTGGTGTTGACGAATAGTGATGTGATGGAAACGGTTGTGCTGATAGACCATATACAAAATAGAAAAAAAAAGAACTTAACATGTGTTTGAAGACGAAAAGTGATTTGAAAGGTCGGGGTGTAGATGGTGGTGAACAATAGTAAAAAAAAAAAAAGTGTTGTGTAAACTTTTCCAGTGAAAGTCACTGGTGATGTGTCTTAGTGTATGATCTTAGGAATAGTTTGTTGTTATTTATAAGACTCAAGAGCAGAGATTGCTTCAGTTACGGCATATCTCTGATCTTTTTTTTAGTCGTTAAGTTTAATTACATATTTATCATAACTGTGTATTTATAAACTGCGGTGCATCATTTGTGACGTCATGTGTGGAATGTGACTTTATCAGAAGATGAAAAGCAGATTGCGAAACGATTATCAAAATGATTTGTATCCATAGGTATACCAAGCCGAAGTTAAGGAGGAAAAAAATATTATAAAAAAAAAATTGACAAAAATGTTAATTTTGCGTCATTGCTAATTGCGTTTATGATTGATAGGCCTAGTCTGGAGTGTTCACATATGCCTTAATTAATAAATCAGTTGTGTTCTCTTTGTTTAACTTTTTTTTTTTATTTGTGATTTTTCTTTTGTGTATTTTCAACTCAAATTGTGCTATGGTACTGAAAATTAAAATCTTGGCACAGCATTTTTACACGATGAGTGATTATGTTAATCATGGTCTTGATTTTGTCTTTCATTTTTAAACTAAAGAGATTCGTTCGCCTTAAAAGTGTTATTAAAATGCAACCGCCATGATCTATATAATCACTGTATAAGTCCAAAATTATAATTTTCGTTATTCAGAAGAAATACGAACACAAAGCCAAATAAACGCTTCCATATTTTTACATACATAAACATAAACAGACACATATATACATACATACATATCTATATCTATATCTTTATCTTTATCTGTATCTATATCTTCATTTATGTCTTTATCTATATCTATATCTATATCTAACTAACTATATATATGTATATATATATATATATATATATATATATATATA